TCCATCCCTTTATGACCACAATGTACCCAACTTCTGATGGCTACTTTCAGCAGGATAATACGCCATGTCATAAAGCTGGAATCATCTCAGACTGGTTTCTTGAACATGACAACGAGTTAACTGTACTCAACTGGCCTCCACAGTCACCAGATCTCAATCCCATAGAGCATCTTTGGGATGTGGTGGAACGGGAGATTCACATCATGGATGTGCAGCCGGCAAATCTGCGCCAACTGTGTGATGCCATCATGTCAATATGGACGAAACTCTCTGAGGAATGCTTCCAGCACCTTGTTGAATCCATGCCACGAAGAATTGAGGCAGTTCTGAAGGCAAAAGGGGGTCCAACCCATTACTAGCATGGTGTACCTAATAAAGTGGTCGGTGAGTGTATGTATTAGTATATAGCATGGTAACTACTACAAACATTTACTTCTACATGCATGTATACCATTAAATTTGGCCTTATAAATATTATACATACTCATACACATGTACATCCATCGGGGGGTTATCTACTTCGCAGATTTTCCTATTTCGCGAGGGGTGGGGGGTTCTGGTCCCCATTAACCGCAATAAGCGAGGAATCACTGTAAATTTGATTTTTTATAATACAAAAATGACTATCCAGGAACATATAAATCCTGTAACACATGTAGTTTCACTTGCTTGAATGCATATGAATGCCACAGGCCTCAATCTGAAGACATAGAAGGACAGACAAATGACAGCAGCTGTGCAGTAATGTAACGGTCAACGTTTCCTTTTTTTAGCCTCCCGACATGTCATCACGAGGACTAAAATATATAAATGGTGCACACAAGCTTTTGCTCTTCTTTTTCACCTTTGTCAAAGTTATTTTTGAAGGACTTCTGCAACCTTAGTGAAGAATCGCTCTCTTCAAAGAGCAATGAAAGAGCGTTGGGATCCAACAAGGCCATTACAACATCATTGTCATAGAAAATTACACACTGCATATTTTTAAGAGACATATATAGTACGAATATAACAATATATTTGATGCTCAGTCATTCATGTCACAGAAGTGATACATAATCCAGAAATGATACTGCATGGCACTCTCACTCAGTTCAAACATTTACGAGAGTACAAAGCTGAAAGGGGAATGGAGGAACTGGAAATGTGTGCACTTTGTTGTTTGTTGAGTGCCCGCCCACTCCATGAATAACATTGGCAACTCCCTCTCTGTGGCTTTATGACGCACCAACTGGATCAGAGCAAAGAGACACAAGACTGACTCACCGTGTCTCGGCCACCAGCGAAAAGAAGGGAACACACATTTAACAGGGGATAACTTCAAAACCCTGAAAGACAACCTTTAAATCAGTGGTGAGAAAGACATGAGAATGAGGCTGTGTGCTGATATTCTTGCTCTGATGATCTGTGTGCAGAACGTTTGCTGAATGAGTTAGCCCTACTGTATGCAAGTCAGTATATGTGTTCCTGTCTCTTTTACAGGCTTTTGGGACTCTGCCCTGTCCAGCCAGCGGGCGACCTCCCACCCTCCCCGTCGACCTTCAAGCCGAACTCTCAGCCCCCAACGGATAAGCAGGACCGGCGAGGACCAGGGGTCGGAGCAGTGTTATACTGGGCCCCAGTGTGACAGCGCACCACCAACATTACGCCACCGGACTCCTTCCTCCAGAAGTGACAAAAGGCATTCCAATGCTACTCTCTGCTTTGTCAACCCACTGTTTTTCCAGACTCGGCAGCACCACCACTGTACAGAAGATCCAACTTCACATGAGTCTAACAACGTGCCTATGACACCCACAAGTGGCGGCCAAGAGAGCAAGCAGCACCCAGACGAAATTCAAGTGAACCGCAAATCGCAACCCCCTCCTCGTCCTCCCCCACCTCGCTTGATGCTGCGCAAGCGACCGGCACCACCTCCACCTGGAGTTCCAGCTCTTACCACCAGACCCAAAAGCATGCCAATGGCCATTCCCGTGGCCCCACGACAACAGCCTGCCCCCACCCGGCGCCCGGCCCCGCCTCGACCGACAATAGGTACTAAACACAGCGGCCCACTCAAAGGTTCACCAAGATCGCCAATCCCTGTGCCTTCAAACCCACCACCTCCAAGACCGAATAAGCCCGTTGTGGACCACCACTGCCACGTTGCCCTTGATGATGAGACCATTGCTCAAGCTTTGTCTAGAGTCAAGCTCCCCGCTTCCGTTCTGGATCATCTTCCACTGGAGGACAGCAGCGTGAGTCCATCAATCCAAAACAAGAGGAGACTTCAACGGCTCAGTGACATGAGCATGTCGACTTCTTCCTCTGATTCATTGGAATATTCACAGTCTCCTGGGTTATCCCTGGGCCTGGGCTCCAGCCAGTCATGCCATCTTAACCATCAAGAGAATGTAGAGGACACGAGTGAGGATGATGATGATGATGACGAGGATGGCGAAGAGGAAGTGGAGGAGGACTACGGTGTGGGCCTAGAGGCTGACTTGGAAATGCGTCTGCGTCCGTCCTTTAAAGCTAGAAGTCGCAGGGTGGGTGTGAGTCTAAGTGGGGGATCATTTATTCTTCCCCGGGCCTTAAAGGGACGCCTACGCAAGGTCAGCGGTATGCTCACATCTTTGATGACTCCAGAGAGACGGACAGTGAAAAAGATAGCTGAGCTGTCTCGGGATAAAAGTTCATATTTTGGCTCACTGGTTCAGGACTATATCAGCTTTGTTCAGGAGAATCGTGGTTGCCACACATCGGGAGAGGATTTTTTGCAGACACTCAGGCAGTTCATGACGCAGATGAAAGCTTACCTGTGCCAAAGCTCTGAGCTGGACCCTCCGATCGAATCGCTCATCCCTGAAGATGTGATTGGTAAGGCATTCATTCTATTAGATGTCTTTGAAAGCATTGTAACATCAAAAGAACCATTTGTGGTTGTAAAGGGATTGCGCATCGTGTTTTTTTGACGCAAGCGTGTGGGCGGTGACTCGCTTAGTATCGCTTCTCTATGATGTGAGATAATACCGTATAATTTAGGAAGTAAAAGCCAGTGGCGGCTCATCAGTAGTGGGCACTTGGCACCGTCCTCCCACCCAGTTGAGGCAGAGTGAAAAGGACAAAAATACACAAATGAAGATGAAATACTCTAATAAAAATACTTGAAAATATATGTATATCAGTTTTTAGACGAGCAGGATAAAAATAGGACAGTTACTGATTTTATTTATCTTTGGTGTCGCAAACGATGACAAACTTAGGGTTTTAGGCCGATACTCTGGTTGAAAGTATGACACGCAGCTGGCTGGACCTACCTCATGCAATACCCACAGATTGGCCACTTTGGGTGCAGAATTCCACTACTCACAGCCGAAAACATTTAAGTGGAGTTACCATTAAAGCAGACAAAATTTTCTGTCCGGGTCCGAGTGGCTCCCGCCTGCGTCAGGAACTTAACTTGTCAGATGGACGTGGTGACCACATTGGATGGGGCTCAGCCAGCCTTCTGCAGTGTATCATTTTCATCTCCTTGAAGTCACTTCAACGAGAGAACATGTAGCCAGGCCACATGGTTGATAACAGGTGTACTGGATTTATGGAGTTCAATTGTTCAACAAAATAACAGATATACAAAATAAATAAAACATTTGTCGCTTTTGCCATGACCACACTCTTAGGCCATCTGAAGAAAGGCATTGGTTGGGTGTTGTATCGCGCGATTGGACGGGGGGCCTTTTTAGAGCAAATAGCTTCAGCTGTGAAGGGTGATTAAGTTCTGGTCATACCCTCTCAAACTGAGCCGTACACTATCGAATCGAATCGTAATCCCACTGGATTGTTTCATTTATAAATCAAAGCGTCCTTGAATCGTTTTGCACCCCACTTAATGAAAACCGTGAAGCCTTTTTACCCTGGACATCATTTGTTGATGAAAAAGTGACGGTCCTAGTCTTGTCTTCTTCCTCTGAATCAAAACTATTTGAAGTGCTTCAAAGCTCGTGTTGAGTTTCAGTGAGGGCAAAGGGATGTGTCCATTTACTTCTTCTATTCTTAGACCCCACATTTTTTTTTCTCTGCCCATTCCTGAGATCTGAGGGTCGTTTAAAAGGCAGGCATTATTGAATTAAATCTAAATTCTTGGTGACATTTGTTGGAAAATATGTTAACTTAAACATACTTGAGGCCCATTATGTGACTAGAGCAATGCATGAATATGTGAATGACTTTTCAATTCACTCTTGTTCTTTGTCGACAATAACAGCAAAGCTTTGTTCCGAAAAGAAGTGATCCATTTTATTTGTACAAACAGACACTTAGCCCATTAATTATCTGATGTCATAAACCAACCCCACCGAACATGCAGAAAGAGAAGCACAAGTGGAGCGAAGCTTTTTAAGGCAATCCCACTCACACAACAGAATTGACACAGATAGAGGATGCCATAGCTTGTTGTCCTGAGCAGCAGCCCTGCTCATGTATTCTTAAAAATGTGGTGGGAGGTCTACCACCAAACATTTCAGATTTATATACACTTGAAATATTGAACACTGTTGATCATTTTTGTTCGACTTGACAACAAGGTATGTGCTACTTTGTGTTGGTCTAGTATATACAATCGCAACATAATACATTCATGTTGGTGATTGTAACATCACAAAAGGTGGAATAAGTTCAAGGCATATGAGTACAGTTGTGCTGGTATCTAAACTTATGAGCACAAGTGTTGGAGAATTTTATTTTTAAAGTTATTTGTTTTGAAAAAATAGCTGTTGATAGAATACATCAAATACATTCTGGTCATCATGATAGGTAACACAAATGTGCTAATTTTCTTAACACTGACTGTCCAATGCTTTATCATTGCTGCATTCATATTTCTTAAACATGTAATTTTTGAGAAATTGATGAATCAAACCTGGTTTTGTCCTAACATTTTTTTTTTTTGAACATGTCATTTTATGACGAGTGACTAAGCCACAATAGAATGTTGCTGATGTCAGGCCTAAACAGTGCCTCCAGTTACCTCAAATATTAATATTGGGCTCAATTTGCCGCTGTTGAAATATTCACAGCTACTTTTGTCATCATGTGCCCACACAGACGCAGACACTAGTGTCTTAGTCATACAGCACAAACATCCTCCTTCAGGCGATGTTAGGACCACACCAACAAAAGGACATAAAGAACATGCACATCCAATAAGAACATTTGTGTGATGGCTATTTTTTTCCATCTTTTTGTCAGCAGAATTCCAGAAAATGCTCTTTGTGGATACAGAAATAAACCTTACCCTCTCCCCCACGAGATGCAATGGCTCACTCTCAGTCAAAATCAATTGTATATCTGTTCACCCCATAGAGTTAGTATACTGATAAATGAATGCATGTGCTTTAATTAAAAAATTAAACATGTGTGATGCTTGATATTCAACAGAACATGTGCTGGAAAAGGCCATGCACAAGTGTGTGCTGAAGCCCCTGAAGACTTTCATCGACGTGGCCTTACATGATTTCCAGGTGAGAGAGCAGATCATCTATCTGACATATGCTCTCACAGTGTCACAGTACGATGACAAGGACAAATGGAAACTCAACCGGAGGGTACTGTAAAATAAGATAACCTTTATTAGGGCCACAGCGGGGACATTTGCAGCTAATGTAAGTACAGTAAAAGGCTTTCTCTGTCAAATTAAATTTGGCATGATGGTGTCGTCATGATGTTCTTTTCATAAAAAGTAAGCGACAAAGTACACACTTAGGACTCATGACCAGCGCAGGTCTGGCATACCGAGTTGTGTAAATCTGTGCGGGAACCTGGTGCTGGTAATGTGTATGTTATGCTCCAATGCAGTTTTAGGACACCAAAGGCACAAATCTTCATATATTGATGCAAATAGACAAAGTCAAGTAGCATCAGCACATCAGGCAGCCTGGCAGGAAACTCAGCAGCAAACTGCTGTGGGCAGCTCAGGCATTTGTAGTGGGGCTTTAATTACACAGGTGCAGTTGAACACCCTGTTTGGCCACCACCAACCAAGCTGCGGGGCAAGCAATGAATTAAGTCTTGATTGCCAGATCACCACAGTTTCAGATGTGCGGGCACAGGAACAAAAAGGGCAGTTTGGGCTGTTGTGGCCGTGAACACAGCTCACTCCATTTGCCGGCAATCAAAATGCGGCACACTCCCATCTCGCGTGGAGACATCTGTGTGTGGAAAGGGAACCAGTGATCAGTGTGTATTGGGAGCATTGTCATTAAGGGAGCAACAGACATGAAATACAAGATGAGCTGCTGGCAACATGGATTTGTCCACCGACTCCATTTTTCTAGTCCCACCCAATCCCAAATTGGTAGTGTGCCACCCACAGAGCTATACTAATGTTGATAATGATAATGCCCACTGTAAGGAATGAAATACGATGACACCCACCAAATGTTGTGCGGGGCTGAGCGTATCTGCCAGCACCTCGATCAAATCCACCAAAATCGCGTTTGACAAGCGACCTACCTTATCCCAAAAGTTAGACTTAGTCTTAGGAGACCTAAATTTAGACCAATTCTGAGCTCTCAAATTATCAGATGTGCTGGGTTCATATGTCAAAGGACGCACCCTCGCTGTCAGAACCCCCATCAGATTATAATTGGAGCAGATACTTTTTGTCATGTAAGAGCTTTCTTTTATGTAGTTCTTCTTGTATACATAGAATTGTTGTTCTGGATCTGAATGGTGACATTTCATATGTTCTAAACTTAGTCTGAAGTAAAACAGAAGCAGGTTAAACTTACTATTTTTTTTTTGTTCTTAATAGGTTCGCAGTGGAGATTGGCAGCAGATGAAAGAGAATTTGGCCTTGGCTAAATCCAAGAGGCCTCAGGAGCTGGGCGTGGATGGTGCAGTACCGCCTGACGCTGTGGCAATTGAGAAGATTCGACATAAGTTTCTTGACATGAGGAAGATGTACTCGCCTGAGAAAAAGGTGTCGCTGCTGTTACGCGTGTGCAAGCTCATCTACACCATCATGCAGGACAACTCAGGTATAGAGTTTTCGCCGAAAATAAATTAGAGCACAGAAACATAATGGCAATTGACGACTACACAATGATGTCGCTACCTGTTTGTCTTTTTTTTCAAGCTTTAACACATTGTGGGAATTTGTATTGCTTTGTTTCAAAGTAAATGTGCAGCCTCCAAGTCTGTTGCCCCCTCCCTGACCTGTATTCACACCACACATACCTCCACGTCTGCTTCCTTCTAGGGAGGATGTACGGCGCGGATGACTTCCTGCCCATGTTGACGTATGTGGTAGCGCAGTGTGACATGCCTCAGCTGGACATGGACATCCAGTACATGATGGAACTACTGGATCCATCTCTTCTTCAAGGAGAAGGTACTGCTTTGTATTCCTATTTTATGCATGGTAGGTTAGGTGAAGACTCTGAAGTCTTAAATATGATTGTTATTTTGCAGTCAAGACAACATCAAATTATTCTGTGCTTATAATGGCTGCCATGAAGTCTACACTGATGATTTTTACTCTTTCTTGCCGCTGAAAACTCTCTTGAGGTTGTCTATCTGAAATGACACCCGGTTAGCTTCACCAAGCCAGCTGCATTTGGGGGCTCAGAAAGGCGGAAATTCCAGTCGCTTAGACTTGAATGGCCTGGAACAGTTTCAGAGGAAAAAGGTTTCAGAATGTCTGCCAGCCCGTCGGCCTTTCTTCAGTCAATTAGCTGGGAAATAACAGTGGTATGAATGCCCCTTGTTATCCGCGGTGCCTTTGGGAGCATTTTTCAACTGAGAAATGCTGCCTGGCTATCATGCAACATTTTCTGATGATTTGAAACCGATTCCTATCAATTAGACAGTGCTTTACTCGTAACACTGAATTACAATAATCCGGTAATCTGTCAATCAAAACCACACCTTAATGATGCCATCGTTCCCAGTCTTTCATACAAAGTTTATATTTTCAATCTCTTTGATCCTAGGAGGATACTACCTAACAAGTGCCTATGGGGCGATGGCCCTCATCAAGAATTTTCAGGAGGAGCAAGCAGCAAGGGTGCTGAGCTCTGAGGCCAGAAACACTTTACATCAGTGGCACCGCCGTCGCACTGCTCAGCGTTCGGCACCCACAGTGGACGACTTTCAGGTAGCACACCTGACCTGATCCCAGGCTGTGAGTTGTACCAATTTCAAATACATCCTAATTTCTGCTCTTTGAATGATGCAATCTGTAAAAAAAATACATGGACAAAAGTAGTGGCCCACCTGCCCATTAGATATAGGCAGGTCCATAAATATCAGGACAAGGACACCATTTTTCAGTATTCCAGCTCTGTATAACACCACAGTTGATTTCAAATGAAACCATTTGGATTTGTTTGAGGTGAAGAACTGAGCTTGAGGGTGTTTACATCCAAATCAGGTGAACTCTGTAGGAATCATGACAGGGTGGTATCTCATTGAGCGGCGAATGCCTGCGAAGGTATCGAACGTGTGACGGTCTGGGGGCGGCTTTATTCTTCAGGACCTGCACGACTGCGATTGCTGTGATGAATGAAACAATGAATTGTGCTGCTCTCTCATAGAAAACGATGAATGTCCGGCCATCAGCACAAACATACCAAAAAAAAATTCAATATCTAACGCAAAAAAACAAATACAGTTGAGGTCCCGTAGTGTGACCTTTAATTGGCTCGAACAATTCTGACAAGAATAATGTGCCAAAATTCCTCCATAGCAACGTGAAGAAGCCAGTTATTAGGTTCAGCGAGGTAATGACTTTTCCACATATGACCAGATGGGTCTGCAATTTTTTTTCCTTGTTCATAAATATATTCATTTAAGCACTGCATTTTCCATTTCCATCGGTTGGAAAATACGCTGACAAAAAAAAAAATCAGAAATCAGCAAAGCTGCAAATACTTTTTCAGTCACAGTAAAAAAAGGGCATCTTGGCTCATGTATTTAAAATTACTTACACTCAGAGATGAAAGTCCTCCGGCTTTTCCCGGAATTCCGGGTTTTTCGAATTTTTATGAAAATTTCTCCGGAGAATTGAGGAAAATTTGCATAATCCGGATATTAGTTGACAACATTGAACGAAGACGCGTTTGAGTTCGTTGTATTGCTTTCACGAGCTTAGCCATATTGAGGCACTAACACTAGTAACAGTAAAGAGATTTTTGTTTGTGTAATAATGACAGAAGGCATGATGGCGTTTGACTCATGGTTTAGTAGAACGAATGGCAACTCGCAACAACAGTAGCAAGGGTCATTTTGCCTCTCGGGTTATACCATCTCAACTTGAACGTGGGGGATAGTCCCCAAACAATTTTCGTCTCTTTATAAACACACCTGCTAAACCCCAGTGGAACGAATAAAAGACGCCGTCAACAAGACAGTTGTCGTAAAAAATATATTTGGCCAAAAAGGGAAAAACACAGATTGGCAGAAAATCGTGTCCGTCCGACTACGAGTGTCGTCTCGGCTAACTTAGCTTAGCTGTTGTCGTGTGTGACGTCATTTGCGTCGGCGCTGATTGGTTGAAATCAAAAGACGCGCTTGCGTACATGTTCG